ATAGAGAATACACACACACACATACAAAGTGTGACAGAGAAACCTGAAAAGAATATTGAAAGGAAATTAGAGTTATAAGTTGTAAGATAATTTTTGACCACTTTTATCTCAAAATTTTTCCTTATACTTCTAGAATTTGATAACTTAGAAATTTTAACTACCAACCAAACTTTGAATGTCCTTGAACTCTTATATAAATATCTAGACAAATCTCTCTCTAATTTTCCTGTGATAAAAACATTTTTTGAGATGTTTAATAATTTTCTTTGTTAATTTATCTTTTAGGGTGATCACATAATTCCTAAAACCATTACGTGAAAACAAAATACCCTATCACATCACCCTTTTTGCTTTTTATATGTCTTTTCGTAAAAAATCAAATAATCAATTGAAATAACATATTCTCAAATGAGGTGTCATTAGAGTTGGTTGTACATTCTTTTATTTTGAAACTTTATGTAAAGTAATACAACTTTTTGCTTATAATTTATAAGTAAAAAATAATATAAATATGCAAAAAATATATTAATCGTCTAAAAATTGAAAAAAGAGTCAGGGTTCTACTTTCTTGTTGTCTAAAATTTCAAGTGACCTAAAACACTCATTAACAAAATTCATTTCAAGAATCAAACATACCCTCTATAAAAAGAGCAATGTTCATTACACAGAAATTTTTTATCAAATTTTGCATAAAACTCACATAAGGTGAGATTTACACCTATGTGAATGTTTGGTAGAAAAACTAAATATTTAGAGAAAATTTGAATTCAGTGGAGCCTTTAAAATATAATTATAAATAAGTGACAAAATTTATACACATTAATAATTAATTATTTTTCCAAAATTATTTCTTCAAGAAAAAAAAAAAAAAAAAAAACCAAACAAACAAGCAAATAAACAATGCTAAAGACTCACATTTTACGCCCATAAATACATTCACAATTATGTGACAAGGGTGATGGATCTCATATTATTGAGTGTTTAACCAATCAAAAACTGACACTTGTCAAATTATATCATTGTAGGTAGAGTTGTACAAAATACCGTCCAATCTGTTAAAATTGCACTGATCCACATCAATTCTCGAACCGCAGATTAAATTTTAAAATTTATAATATATTTCTGAAACCTCTTGGCTCGCTATAATTAATGCATATATATTTTTTAATATCTAATAAAATATTAAAGTAAAAATAAATGTAAACAAAAGTTAAAATGTAAAATTTGTTACAAATTAGTAATTATATATGAAACATAGGATTCGTTTGGGATGTGGGTTGACTTTTTGGCTATTTTAGTCAATGGCTAAAAAGTCTTGTTTAGGATAAGCTTCTTGATTTTTTTGACTTTTGTGATCGAAAAAATAAAATGATTATGATTTGGATATGATATTTTATCTTAGGGCCCGTTTGAGTAGAAGATTTGTGGCTAAAATAATCACAAAAGGCAAAATAGGCTATTTTAGTCACAGCAAACAAAACATCACATCCAACCCATAATCATTACACTCTTCTCTCACAAAAAAAGTCAAAAAAACCAAAAATTCGAAAAGTCAACCCACTTTCCAAACCAACCCTTATTAAGCTAAAAAACCTATTTTGTTTTTTTTAGACTAAAATAGTCAAAAAGTCAAGAAAAAATAGAATACCAAACGAAGGCATATTATGCAAAATTAATCTATGTTTTATTTATATATATAATAATGTAAATTAATATTATATATTGTGTAAATATTTAATAATTAGATAAACTATTTTTCAATCGATCAGTCTAAAATTACTCAAATCATAATTTGTCAATTTATCAACCGTCATTCAATTTGTAATTTTACTCTCAAATCGTGTAAATTGCACCACGCATACCTGATAACCTACAAAAATCAAAGTAACTAAAAAAAAAAAATAATAAGCTAAAAAAATCCATACTATTTCAGAGAAACTTGTTGGGAAGCCTAGAGTGTAAAATCATTATTTTAGCTTCCGTTTGGGAAGTGTGTTGACTTTTTGACTTTTTAGCTTTTTTGATTATATGAGCCTGGGCTCAAAAGCTTAGTTTGGGAAGGGCTTTTGACTTTTTAGCTTTTTTGATTTTTTTGTGAGAGAAGAGTATAATGATTATGGGATTGAATGGGATGTTTTGTCTGTATGGCTCATTGAGCCAAAAAAGCCTAATGAGCCCTTGCCAAACCAAAAGTGAATAAGTTAGAAGTCGCAAAACCAACAAAAATAAAATGATCATTTTGATTTTATTATAATATTTTATTACAAATCTTCTTATAAAAAATCAAAAATTATTTTAAATATACAATTTTTTTTTTTACTTTTTTGTTTAAAAATTTAAAAAATACTATTTTATGGGAAATCCCAAACAAATTACTCCCTCCGTCCTAAAATATTAGTCCCTTATTCCATTTTTCATTGTCCCAAAATATTAGTCCCTCTTTATAAATCAAGTACAAAAATAATGTAAATTTCCTATTTTGCCCTTCTTTTAAATTAATAAACAATTTAAAAAGTACAATTATGACATTGATATTCCCAAAAAATGTACTATCAAAAGGGTAATTTTGAAAAATTAACTTTTTTCAAATGCAATAAGTGTACTACCAAAAAAAGTTAAATTCCCCAAAAGGGACCAATATTTTGGGACGGAGGGAGTATAAAAGATTATGAGAATCTTATGACGCTTTAGAACAAAGGCCACAGATCTTAGATTTGAAACCATACGTGTCAAAGTATAATAGCACAACGGCTCGTGCTTATCCGCTTTGCCAGACTGTCTTGCCTTTTCTCTCTATAATTACCTTTTATTGTTTTACGTTACTCCGATATGGCCACAGTAAAATTGTAAAAAAAATTCACAGAAATTACAATGTTCACGAGCGCACAGCCCCCAAAAGATTCCTGCATCGTGCACTTTTGTCATACGTGTGGCATCACATCTTTTAGATCTGCGCGTGTCCTTTCCTGTCAACTCTCCTTTCTCTATGTTCTATAAATAACGCTATGTATCAGAAAAAAAATATTATAAAAATAATTATAAAAAATATTTTATCATTAGATTATATATATAAAAAAATAACACTAATTAAGAAATAAAAAAATTTCATAAAATATTTCATAATAATTTTTTTTTTATGATCCTAATATTATCCTTGCTCCATTCCCTCTCTACTTCTATCATAAATACATACATACATACATATACACATTTTTCTAAACATCGTGGTATGTCGATGTAACTCGCTATGAAAAATTCAAATAGACACCTTTTTGTATATGATATGCCCCAATGGTAATTGTTATATCTAATTATGATCTATTTTAATATCAATTATAATTATTATTTTAATTATGATAAAAAAATTTACTACACTTCATGAATATTTAATTACAACCAACTGTTTTTTAATTATAAAAATTTTCGTAATTAATCACAAAAACATTAACTTGTTTGCATATGATAACATGACTTATAATATTAATTTTCTTGCATATGATAACATGACTTATTTGCTAAAGCCATCCTTGTAACATTGAACAAGAAATTCGTAAAATTCGTAATCCGATTCAATCCAATCCAATCCAATCTGATAGGTTTGAATTAATTTTTTAAATCCGTGATTCGATTCCGAATTGAAGAATGAAAAATCCGTAAACCACGGATTGATTCCGAATTAAAATCGATCCGGACCATATACAAATAATCCATATTTTTATTATACATCCATCCCCATAATATCTTCTCTTATTCTATATAAAATTTAAACTCAAATCTAAACTCATATAATACCTTCTTTTATTATTATTTTTATTTAATTTTTAATTTTAATTTATAATAATCTAAATATTTATGATGAAATCAATTTTCTTATGATTATTTAAATTTTAAAACAATATTTCGCTATTATAAAAAAACATTTTATTGTAGAACTAATATAGCATTGTTTATATTTTTATAAAATTAAAACTTTGCATATATATTTTTTTGTTATTTAATTACATGAATCTATGGTCTTAAATCAATCCAATCGGTGTTTAAAAAGAATATTTCAAATTGATTCCATAATTTAAACAAATTGAATTAGTTTCGATTTTTCAAAAACTGTAAATAACGAATTGATCCTGCTTTCACACCAATTCGGTCCAATCCGAACCATACTCACCCCTACTTCCTTGAGAAAAAAAATTAGATTAAAATAATTTACTATAAGACTATTAAGAAAAATGCTTGGGACACTAATTCACTAATTAAGTGACAATGAATCCCGCCATTAATGATGTGATATTTTGATCTTAAAGTTGCATTTTTTTTTTTTAACTTTTTTAATGCATTAATACTGTTAGTGATGATATTTTTAATAAGATGAATCATTGTTGCTATTTTAATTAAGTTAGAATAATAAAAAACTTGATTAAAATAATCAATTAAAATAAACTTCTTGAACAAGAGCTATATACTCCTTTAATTCCAAAATATTAGATACCCTTCAAAAATCAAATACAAAAATAATACAAATTTCATATTTTAACATTTTTTTAAAAAGTAAACATTAATATTTCTCAAAAAATATACTACGAATAATTTTAAAAAATCTACTTTTTTAAAGTATAATAATTATACTATCAAAAAAATTAAATTTCCCAAAAAAACCCATTATTTTAAGAGAAAGTACATAATAAAAATATATTTAAAAAAAAAAGAAAGGAAAGTTAGTGCATCATTCACATGGGTGCTGGTGGATGGGACCGACACAACCTGGCATTAGATAAATAAGTAGGACCCAGAAGCAGTGTCAGCACCCATGTGACTGTCTGCCCTGTTGTGGCCCTTCTTTCTATCCCCTCCATGAAAGGAAGAAAGTAAAAGAAGGAAAGACAGGTCCCACTTTTGAAAGCAAACAATTGCAATTAGGAGACAAATTCTTCAAACATATAAAAGAAAGGCAGTACAATACCACACATATGAGTGAGAGAGAGAGAGAGAGAGAGAGAGAGGGGTACCAAACTACCAATCAAATTTAAGAACACTCTTTTTCTTTCTTTCTTTCTTATCTTTTCCTTTTTCTAAAATTTCCTCTTTCTGTCTACTAAAATCTAAAGGTTCATACTGTGTATTACAGAACAATTACAGCAAACAAGTTATGGTAAAAAATACCATTTCTTTTCTTTTTTCTTGTTTTTATACCTGAAACTACCAAATTGAGCTGACTTTTTACCTTCTTTCCAATCAGCCTTGTAGTTAGTTACACAGCTTTGGCTTCTTTGTTGACATTGTTGTTTCTGGTTCTGCTGTACATTAATTGTCTTCCTAACATCATACACTAACAAACTACACTTGGGACTTCTGATATTTATACTGGGAAAAGCCCATAACTGGTGAGAAAAGCTAAAGAAAATTACAGTCCCCCAAGAATTTACTCCAACTACTACTACACATTGATTGCTTGATTTTCTGTGACTATTTTAACCTGTGGTCCAACTTCAACTACAGATATGACACTCTTATGAGATGTGGGAAATAGTACAACGAAGACAGAAATGGCTGACCCACTTCTGACTTTTTACGTATGCATTTGTATCTTAGTAAAATAAGTTGTATAATAGCATCCATGGTGGTGAGAGGTGATGCTAGTGGTGGTGGTGATTTCTCTGACATGTATCTTGGTGTTTCTGATTCTTATCAAACTTCCTGCAGAAAGCAAAAACAAAACAAAACACCCAAAACAACACAACAACCAAATCAAGTATATTAGTTTTCGAAAGTATGTGTAGAAAGCTAAAAAAATAAAACCAACTTGAATAATATTCTTGTGATTACTACTTACCCATGAGCCAAAAAAGCTTAAAAAAATTGAAAAAAAACAGCACCAAGCTACATTCCAATGGCTCCATGACCAGAAGAGAACCTGAATCAGAACCTTATTTGGATGAAATTTACTGATACTACTGTAGTAGGTGCATCGAAATGGTGATATGGGTGTGTTGAAGTGGTGACAACTAATAAAATACCTTGTTGCTTGAAAGTAACATGATTTCAAAGAAGCCATGTCTAATGTAGAAGTGGCAGGAAGCAAGGATGAAGTGATCAAGTTATTGTTAGCAGATGCTGCCAAAACTGCGGCATTCTTTTCCGCCTCACCAGCTGTGCTGGAGAAGGCTGTCAAGTAGTCCACAGCAGCTTTAGGAGATGCAAAGGGACTATCAGGGAGGTTGTGTTCCAAGCTACATTCAAATACAACATTTTCAAAACAATAAATGCAAACTTAAAAAGAGATTATTTCAAACCCCAAAGTAGAATGAACCCAGAAAAGCCAGGGGACTGCAAAAAACAAATAATTAAGGAAAATCTAATTAAAAGCATTAGGATTGCTATTATGGGTTGCATTTGTGTTGATCCAAAAAGTAATATACCTTTCTGGCAAATCACTTTCTTCATGCAAATTGGGACTTTCTTTGCCACTTCCATTGCCAATGCCATTGTTGTTACTTGCTATCGATGTTTCTTTCTCATTCTCCTTCTCAGATACATTTGCAGTCTGTTGCAATTGCTGATCACCCGCAGCAGTTGCTGCAACTGCCATTGTCGGGCTGGATCCATTCTCTGCAGGAAAACAATAGATTAGCATCCATCATTTTCATTTCTCAACTCAACATTGATTCTACTAAGCATAACAACTACTGTGACCTAAACAAACAATAATTCAAGCACATTACTCAGATTGAAACCAAAATCAGAAATACACCTTCTATGACTTCAGGACTGCTTCTATCTTGATTGAAGAAGTTTGGAGAGTGCGGGGACGGAATGGCAGCACCCGTAGAGAGGGTACGGTGGTGATTGTGCCTTTTCACATCAAGAAGTTGCAGACCCATCAGTCTCCGACCTTGGAGCTCAATAGCTTGCTGCAAGTCAGCTTGTTCCTCCAGTTTCCTTCTCCACAATATGTCTTGGGTAGTATCTCCAAACATCCTTGCTCCTGAATTTGAAAAACAAGCCCCACACATCAGTAACATAATATGATTGGGTTTCCAACAATCAGTGATGAAGCCAAGGACATTACATTGGTAGCTTTCGAAAACAATGCACATTTTTGCTTACCATGCTGAAGATCATAAGGGTCTCTCGAATCTAAGCCAGTAGGGCTACCACATGCTGAGAACTCTCCTCTCTCCATTTGTTGCTGCTGATGCTGCAGCTTCCTGCAATTTCCCATTGACATTAACAAAGAAAACACGAGAATGCTTATATCTACAGGAACAGAATTCACACACACAGAGACAGAAGGGAAGAGAGAGTGCCTGTATTTGTCAGGGACCTTGCCCTTCTCCTTGTATGGCTTCACAAGCACCCGAGCGTCACATACAAAATGAGGGTTCCCTTTAGCAAGAATGAGCTTAACAGTTTCTGGGTAGACAAAGGTAACAAACCCAAACATTCTCTTCTGTTGATATGGAATCCTCACATCTTGAACTGGACCATAAATACTTCAAAAACCAATTAAGAAATAGTTTAGAAACTGAAAGGGCGTTCAGTTGAGTACAAATAGCCAAATCTAAACATATATACCTGAAATAATTGGAGACATCCTCTTCTCTAAATGTGCTATCAGCTGGAAAAGTCAGGTAGATCTGTCTTGAACCGGGGTTCACCATTCCCAGCCCACCGTTCATCGTAAACTCGTTCCTATCAAGCCGGGATCGCCCGAATTTGTGCATATCCTCACCCATCATCAACGCCGCGGCGGCCCTTCAACATGAAGAGCAAACAAGTGCAAGTACAAGTGATCACTTCACAAGAGAGTAACATGAGTTAAATTATGAAAGAATATATGATGTATATATGTACCTTTGGGTATCACTTTGCTGTTGCTGGAGGAGGAGATTCATGCATTTGTTTGCGGCTACAGCAGAGTAAGGGGGGAAAGTAGAAGCCATGAGCTGAGAAGCGGCAGCTAACCTCTGCTGCTGTGCCGATTTAGATCTGAGAATCTCTTGGCACTGATCCATCGTTGTCTCTAGCTTGCAAGGCGAGCCAACCATGGCAGCACCATCCGAACCCACCATGGCGGCTGAATCGGCGCCGTGGAGGAACCTACAGCTGTTTCCGTTCTTACAGTAGCCTCTAGCAAAGTAGAGGCAAGGCTTCCACCCAAATCCACAAGCAGAGTCATCAGATCCCCCCAAGCAAATATCGCTTACCGAGCAGCTCCGGCGGTGGGGGAGGCCGTTCACGGTGGCTCCTCCCCAGTTGCCAGAACCGCCGCCGTAAGAAGAGAAGAGCATGGCGTCGCCGCCGCCAGTTCCGGTGGGGCTGCAGGAGGCTAAATCTTGATGTGGGTAGAACAAATCAGGGCTTCTGGGGCCGAGACTTTGTAAGCCATCGTTGAAGAAGGCGAGCTGGTCTTGTAGCTGGAATTCATCAATCAGATCAGCTCCTCCACTTGCATAGAAAGGGGAAGCAGACGAGTTCATGGACGAAGACGAGGCTGCTGGGTTATGGTTATGGAATCCATTAGCTGAAAAAGTGGTTGAAGATGAGCTTGGGCTTGGGCTGATCAAATCATCAGGATTCTGAAAGTCAGAGAAGCAGGAAGCAGCCCAAGATGAAGTAGTAGGTGAAGACTGGTTGGGGATGCTAAGAGGAGATGGAAGACCAACACCGAGAAGCCGTGAAGAAGTGGAATTCTGCCGGGAAAGAGGAGAGATCGAGTGGCTGTTGTTTGGAAGGAACGGCAACGGAGAGGACGGCGAGGATGGTGAGTTTGATGCCAAACCCAGTTCTTTTCTGGCCTTGAGAACCACTGAGTGAACTACAGCTTCCGGCCCAAAGGCTAATCTAATCATCTCCTTCTCACCATGGTCTTGAATCAACAGGAGACCCATTATCTTTGAGGCATTTTCGGAGTCCAAGTTTTGGATCCTTGAGAGAACAATCCTTGTTGCTTCATATGCATCCATGTTTTGGAGGTTGGTTGGTAGTAGATTCCACTCCAACCCCCCAACCCTTTCTCTCTCTACTAGATTATTACTACTACTACTACTTTTGTGTGGTTTTTGAGTGAAGTTTGCACAAAACAAATGAAACCACTCTTTCTACAACCACCCCAGACCACACCTAATAGCTACTTGTGATCAGTTGATGTTTCTCTTGTTCCTGCAGGAAACCCAGAAAAGAAAGGAAAAGAAAAGAAAAGAAAAAGGAAGGAAAAGAAAGTATGAAAAGGAGTATTCCCGTGGGAGAAGATAAAAAAGAGGAAGGATTGGGAGGTTGCCTTTGTTCAAAGTAAAATATGGTGGTTGAATTTCTCCATAAAGAAATATATGAAAACTATGGTACAGACCAGAAGATGTTAAGACAGCTCTAAAAAAGAAAACAAGAAAGCACAGGTCACTCACTCACTCACTCTCTTTTCCAAACTCTTTCGCTTGCTCTCTCCCCTCTTGTTTTCCAAATTAAAACAGAGGACTTTGCTCTGTGCTCTACAGTACCTACCCATGAAATCTCTCGTCTTTCTCTTCTGACGAGGTGATCAGTAAGAGAGACCCAAAGCCATTCATTCAGTCAGTCAGTCATTCATTTATGTCTTCCTTTCTCTCTCTCTCTCGTTTCTCTCTCTTCACTTTTTTTTAAAATAATAATAATAATAATAATAAAACTTACTACAACAGTCAAACCACCGCCTTATTTCTATGCAGGTTGCAGTTGCAGAAGTAGCAGCGAGCAGAAGCAGAACCCATCAATTGCTTCTGCTGCAGCTGACCACTCTCTTAATTCGAACCTCCCTCCCTCCCTGTGATTTTGTTTTGTGGCTAGAGGGTATTGAAGCTGGGTGGGGAGCTGATTTTCTATCTCTACTCCTACGCATACATTATACATACATACGTATATACATACACTCTCTCTCTCTCTACATAAAGACTTGATGGGAGCGGCAGAGAGAGAGAGAGAGCTCTCCGAGTTAAGCAGATCCAGATTTGCTGCATAAAATAGTACACGTTCTCTTCCTCTAACCTCTGACAGTCTGCTTTTTTCATTAAATTATTTGCGCGCGTGTAATTCACGATCCAATGGGCATCTTGTTAAAAAAACTGCCCTTTTGCACTCAGGGATGACCTCGGTTGCAGTTTGTCCTGATTGTGGTTAGAATGGTTACTTAAATTTTTCATTAGATTTGAATTTAATGAAAAATACTCCCTCCGTCCCAAAATAATGGTCCCTTTTAGAGAATTTAACTTTTTTTGGTAGTACAATTATTGCATTTGAAAAAAGTTGATTTTTCAAAATTATCCTTTTGATAGTATATTTTTTGGGAATATCAATGCATAATTGTACTTTTTATGTTGTTTATTAATTTAAAAGAAGGGTAAAATAGGAAATTTATATTATTTTTGTACTTGGTTTTTGAAGAGGGACTAATATTTTGGGACAATGAAAAATGGAATAAGGGACTAATATTTTGAGACGGAGGGAGTAATTTTTTTTATTTTAATAATTATATTAAATAAGTGTTAAGGGATTGTTTGAGATGTCTTAAATAAGTATATTTTTTTATCTTTTTAGATTAAAAAATTGAAGAAAAAAATATAAATATTTGGATTTACTTTTTGAATTTTTATGGAAAAATGGGTATTAAAAAATTATATAAATTAGTGTGTAGGAAAAAATTAGGATTGGGAGTGGTGCAGCAGTAATTCAGTCATAATTTTTGACTTTTAGTAAATAGTGATAACTTTTTAACTTTTTGAATAACTTTTTGACTTTTTAATTTTTTTTCAACTTGTCAAACTTAGCCTAAATTTCATTTTTTTATCAAACTGGGAGTAAATGTGTCTACTATTTATTGTTATTGTCAGGTGTTTCGAAATATCTTCTCGGATAACTACTTTAAGATAAAAATTTATGAAAAAAATTACACTGATCGATCAACCGTCTCAAGACAAAAATTAAAAAAAAATAAAAAATTTACACTGATCGATCGACTAACCAGACATCCGTCCAGTCGTCTGCCCAACCGACTAGTACTCTGATGAAACTTCAAAATCTTTCCTTAGAACATTTGATACTAAAGGAAGCATTTACTTAAATTTTTATTTAAATTTGATAAAAAAAATTGATATAGCGTTGGAGATACACTTAGGCCTAGTTTGGGAAGATTAAATAAGTACACTTTTTAATTTTTTATGAAATATGGGTTGGGTTTGGGTTGGGTTTGAAGTGATGTGTTAGAGAGGTGATGTGACTTAAATAGGATGATGTGACTTAAATAGGATAGTGACTTTTTGTCTTTTTTCAATCATGCCAAACTTGGTCTTATTAGAGTATTTGAAAAGTTGACTATTTAGTAAATTATTTTAATATGTGAAAATAGTTGTATCGTTTGGAATAATTTTTAAATCATGATTTTGTTTTTAAATTATGATTTAGATTTTAACATATTTTTAAAATATAACTCAAAATTATTTTTAAAACTTCTCTCTTCTCTTATTATTATTATTATTATTATTAATCATTTTTTCTTTCTCATCTCTCATTCTCTCACATTTTCTATATCAATCAACCAAAAAATAAATAATAACAAAAAATTACAAATCATCTAAAAACTATTTTTAAAACTCATAACTATCACAATTGAACTCGCCCCTAGAGGTTTAGGTCATGACCAGCCAATAATCGTAGATTACCTACATTCTCAAAGACAAATCAAATCAAATCACATTGAACGAGTCAGATTATCAAAACGGGACCCGTGATGGCCCCCACAGACCGAACAACAATGTGTTCAATTGCACCCATTCTGATCAGATTTGTTCGGCCACACACAGCACAGAGCAGTGATTGCTTACATCACTGAGTTGTACTTGGCTTGGAAAATTAATTTTTTAATATTTTTTTTTATGAATAATGATAACTTTTTAACTTTTTGAATAAATTTTTGACTTTTTGAATTTTTTGAGAGATGCCAAACTTGGCCTAAATAAATTACGGGATTTGGCGAAAGTAATCAACATATTTAAAAGAAATCCATTGAGAAGCTTACATGAAAGCCTTCAATATATACTAACCATTACATAATAAACATATTGTCATAATCCGAACCCGCCCCCATGGGTTAAGGGCATAACCGGCCAGTAATCAAGGGATTACCTACGGCCTCAAACTAAATCAGACATAACTCAACAGAGTAGAGGGGCCAAACGGAAGCAAAATTTAAAACTTTGTCCATAGAGCTATGCTTACATGGCACATCATAACGGACTATACATGTACATATTAATAACTCACATCAAAATACAGTGACATAAAGTTCTGTAAAGACAGGATTATTCAAGTCTAAGTCAGCCGATCAAAACTATATACAAACGGTTCAAAAGTCCTCACCAACATAACAAAATGCAATAAGATAACAAAAGGGTGAAGACGAGTCTCGTGCGTGAGACGTAAGGCTGACACTTCAAAACCTTGGTTGTCCCACACAAACTTCACTAAGGCTGGGTTTGGACCTTTCTTGGCTCACCTACAAACACATGAATGAGCGTGAGCGAAAGCCTAGTGAATAATATCAAATAAAGAAGATGCATTAGGGCAATAAACATCGGACGGCCTTGGGCCCAATTCAAATTTATATTTAATACGTATATATATATATATATATATACATAGGTTAAACAACTGCGGTTCCAAACACATCGGACGGCCTCGAGCCCAATCCATTCATGTCAGACTGGCCTTTGGCCCATTCATTCTTTCATGTCAAACTGGCCTTTAGCCTATTCATTCTTTTATGTCAAACTGGCCTTTGGCCCAACCAATCTTTCATTCAGATCAAACTGGCCTTTACCCCATTCATGCATTCCTTCTTGTCAAACTAGCCTTCGGCCCATTCATTCATTCATGTACAACTGGCCTTTGGCCCATTCATACTTTCATGTCAAACTGACCTTTGGCCCATTCATACTTTCATGTCAAACTGGCCTTTGGCCCATTCATTTGGCATAGCAAACATTGTCTACCAATCAAATTAACAAACCTATAAACTTATATAGAAGTAAGCGATTGGACAACAACATATTTCAGATATCTTTGTTAAGATATTACTCACAGTGATCGATTGGTTGGTTTGCCCTAGAGCTTAACCCTACACATCACATAACACATACGGGTCACAAATGATTCAATCCATTCTTTAATTTACATATTCCTCTCTAGGCTTTATTCTTATCCATTTGACTCATTTACAATGCTCAATGCATGCCTAAGTGTACTTAGAAGTGAAAGAGAACAGAAAACGAAACACAAAATGCACTTTTAAAATTTTCAGAAACAAGGTTCCCGCTCGAGTGGACCCATGAGGCCTACAAAAGTACTGGTTATGTCAATTTTACGCTCGAGCTCGAAGTCTGGCGCTCGAGCGGAAAGCCTCACTACATGGCTCCCCGCTCAAGCGTAAACTTGCCCGCTCGAGCGGACATCCATGTCTGCAAAAATACTAGGGACACGAATTTCCCGCTCGAGCAGCACTTCCCCCACTCAAGCGGACATCATAAATTTTGGATTTTCCAGAATGATTCTTGAGCTCAAATTCATCATTCCAACCAACATTTCTTGCATATTATGGTTCAAACTTCATATATACATGTACTCACATGGTACAAACACCAAATTACAACATAATGAAGCTCAATTTCACAAGTTAATCAAATGCGTGTCCCAATTTGCCTCAAACTCATTTCCAACATAACAAACTCATACATTCAAACTCATGTTCTCATAAATTGTACATGCATGGGAGATATACTCAATATTCTCAATTTAGTTGGTGAAGAGATGGTCAAAAAACATGAGCTTCAACTAAAAACTTACATGGATCATACATTTTGTGCTCAAACATGCAAATTCAAAGTAATTACACACATGCATGCATACATTGACCTTCAATTCAGCATGATCAACTCAATTTCATTTCAATTCTTACTCTTCATTACCCAACTAGCTTGAATACACAATTTACAAACTTACACTTTTGAATTCATGCTCACATGCTTACCTAGAGGTTCAATTCTTCCAATCTATAGCAAATTCTTGAGTAATCTTCAAGATTTCCAACCTTCATGAGCAAACCCTCAATTCCCTACAATCTCTCCCCCTAATTCGGCTCTCTCTCACACTCAAGAGCCCAAAATCAGCCAAAATGAATCAAAAAGAGAGAGATTGAGTGTATATGGCCCTTTATATAGCCCCACTAAGTCAATTTATCAATATTAAATAATTGAGCACTTAATTAATCGTTCTGAATCTAATTATTTTGATTCGAATCAATTTTCAATTAAATTTCACCGTAGGCTCTAAAAATTACGCTAATCACAATGGCATAATCAATTTCAAGTTTTGTGGCCGATAAGGCCTTCAATTTAAATTTCAAAGTAGATAATCAAATAGATATTCCTACGGTGAACAGATAGAAATTCAAAACCACATATTTTTACATAAATGGCACACATAATCACATTCATAATAAGGACCAATTAGCATAATATGAAACAGGGTTATCACACTTATATTACACACAAATCGTTTAAACCTTAATTGTCATACATACAAACTTATTCATCATATAACAAAGTCAAAAACTGATCAAAAGAACAAAAGGTTTTACTAAAGTTTGACTCTATTCGAGATCAAGCAAACATCCCAAGGCATTTCACATTAGGCTTCACAAAAGAGGGTGAACTCCTAAAGCAACTCTATTTCTGATTCTCCAAATGTTCACCTACATACATATAAGGAAGAGGGGTGAGCTAAATCTCAACGAATAATACCGAAACACAGTGGTTAATTAATGAATGAAGTCCAACACTATTTCAAAACATATCTTATATTTGCAAACGATTCATATATCAAATTCAAACAGAGCATTTATCATAACAAAAATCATTATCAAAACATCATACGTGGTGCCATCT